CCGCCAGCATGAGTAATTAATTGCTCCCCGTAGTTAATATAACCCAGCAGCTGGGTTTAGTGGTTTTGTCCGTGGTGCCGTCCTGGTGAGCCCAAATCCTTCCCCAGACTCGGGCAGACGTATGTTTATGCCTTGATGGTGCTCTCCCACCTGGATTCCTCCTGAATCACTCCCTATCGACTCCGGCCCTGCTCCAGGTTCCCGTTCTCCGAAGCATTTGCGGTGACTCCCGGCAGATTTGGTCAATGCAATTTTCATCCCTCGGCCAACATTCGGTTGGTGCCGAAAAACAGCGAGCGGTGCCGGGCACGGAGGAGAGTGGTGGGGTGTCCTCTGTGCTGGAGCCCCCAGTAGAGTTGAGCGTAATGTTTTGAGGAAGGCCCCATCTCAATGCTCTCCTTTCCCGCAGGCGTCCCATCCGGCCCTCGCAACGTCATCTCCATCGTCAACGAGACGTCCATCATCCTGGAGTGGCACCCGCCGCGGGAGACGGGAGGTCGGGATGACGTCACCTACAACATCGTCTGCAAGAAGTGCCGGTCGGACCGCCGCGCCTGCTCCCGCTGCGATGACAACGTGGACTTTGTCCCCAGGCAGCTGGGGCTGACGGAGACCCGGGTCTTCATCAGCAACCTGTGGGCTCACACCCCCTACACCTTCGAGATCCAGGCTGTCAACGGGGTTTCCAACAAAAGCCCCTTCCCACCGCAGCACGTCTCTGTCAACATCACCACCAACCAAGCCGGTGAGTCCTGGGACGATGCCATGCCGGGGATTTTAATCCGTTTGCAAGCTCTGAGTCCGAAGGAAAAAGCTCCCGGGGTGTGAGTTGGGTCCGATGGGTGCAGTAAACCTGCACCCAGCCCTTTAGGTGAGCCAAGGGGAAGGTGGGAAGCGGAGAGAAAAGCCAAAAAAAAGAAGTAGGGAGAGGGATGAGGGAGGTGGAGGGGTGCCTGTGCCCTGGGCAAAGCGAGAGCGGGATTGCAGGAGGGCAGGGGGTGAGGACCAATGTCAGCTTTTCATCCCCCTGTAGATTGTTCGGGATGAAACGACATCACCACTTCCCCCCTTTTCCCAGTGGGAGCAGGGAGAATGGGGCAAATCTGGCCTCAAACCGCTGCCTGGCTGCATCGTAGCACAGGGGGAGCAACATCTTGGGGCTGAGTTCAGGCTCCATCTTCTCTGGCACATCCCTCTCCCATCATTTTCCCCTGCCCCCTCTCCCTCCTCCTTCCTGATCGGGGGTCGGGAGCCACACCTGGGCCAAACGGGGCTGCCGAGGGGGTGGGTGTGCCGATGGCGAGGGGGGGCCCCGTCCCAGGCTGTGATGAGGAGCGCAGGGAGCCGAGGGATGGGAATTTGGACAAAGAAAGGGGATGGGAATTTCTGTTTCGTGCCGAGCGTGTAACACGGGCAGCCTGCGCCAACCCACTCCCTTGGGACAGCAGGAGATGGAAACCTGATGGAAATATTTTGGTCTCCCAGCTCCGGGGAATACGAACGTACGCTTGTGCCCAGCTGGCGTCGCTGGCTCCTGAACCACGTGCCATCCAACCTGCCTCTGATCTCCACGCCTTTTCTCCTGGGGTGGGAATTTTGGGGTGTTTCTTGGCTTGTTTCTCACTCTCGGGCTACCCAGGAGCTGGGAGCAGCCAGGACACCTGCGTCTGTCTGTCTGTCCATACCCCAGCGCTCCCTGTTTGTCTTGCAAAGGCTGAATCTCGACGTGGAAATGCTCCCAGTGCTGGAGAACGGGCTACGGGGTGGCCTGATGGAAGTGTATCAGGGGTGCCAAGGGCAGGATGGGTGCTGGCCCTCTGTAAATCCCTTTGGCTCTGCAGTAGGTTTTTCCACCCGCTGTCCCCGCACGGGGCCGGATCCGGGCTGGTTAGTGCATCTCATCCCGCAGGGCTGCTCCCAGCCCCATCCGCCCGCCCGCCGCGATCCGCGCTGACGGGGCGGGGAACGCAGCAATTAACAAAACAGCAATCAAGCTAAGTGTTTAATTTCAGCCCACGAGCATCTCCTCGGATGAGCGGATGTGGAGAGATTAAAAAAAAAAAATAATAATAATAATACGGGATTAAATATGCCGGGTAAACAAAGGCGGTGCCGAACACTCAGCGTCTTCCAGTGCGGCCGTGTGGAGCGGGGCTCCCGCTGCCCCCAGATTCCTTCCATGGCACCATGCTGTGCCCCAGGCTGGTCGTGCCAACTCGGCTCTGCCCTGGACCCTGCGGAGGAGGTGTTTTCCCTGCCCAGCGCTGCCTGCGCTCTGGGCATGGTGAGGAGGAGGAGGAGGGCAGAGGGGGCTGGATAGAGACTTGACTCTGCGAGCAGGTCATGCCAGCGCCGCTGTGGGTGTGGAGAGACTTGGGTACCTTTCTTGGAGGCTTTTGGTAGGAACAAGTGCAGGATCAGGGCTGTATTGGCTGGCTCTGGCCCTTTCAAGCATAACCTGGAGGGCAAAATGCCTTTGGAAAAGTGGCTCCTGGCTAATTTATTGGCTCAGTGTCCTTGATGGTGGAAGGATGGTGTTGCTGCTGCTGGGGATGCTCGGCTCCAGGGATGCTCAGCTCCAGGGATGCTCAGCTCCGGGGATGCTCAGCTCCAGGGTGCTAAGCTCCAGGG